GTACATAAATAAGTAGTTATTTATATTCATTATGAGTATGCAGTGCGTATTGTTCATTGAGGCAGGAGGGTAGCAGATCAGTGGCAAGCATTCACACAATATTAACGACAAATTATTGTTATTGAGGATCGCTAGTATGATTGAGAAAGACCATTAAGACTATTTAGTGCTAATATAAACAGATACATATATCTCCACAGTGATTTTGTTTCTTCGTACTGCATCTGTACCAGATAAATAATATTCAAAATGACATGATGCTTTTGAATTGAACAAAACTGGTTTCATCGGTTATTATTTATATATATTATTTTTTTCTTGTTATATATATTTATATAGGTATTATTATTTTAGTGCGTTTAGTCGGCTAATATAGATAATATAGATAAAGTCAGTTGGCGTTGTACTTATTCTATCAGTTTACTGTTTTATAGTTTTAACTAGTGAATCAATAGAGATTACGGAGACTGATAACGTTGCGCGTGTTAAAGGCTGTTATAAAATTTGTGATTATTTAAACGAAACACACCCTGCAAATGAATTGATCGCTCCAGGATCTTTCAAGTGGGCTTTAATACTTTGTAAACATGTTTCTTTGTCATAAAAATAGACATAATGTTAAAAAAAGTCTCGCTGAGTTTCTTTCGTCGGGTCTTCTCAGGTCAGTGGTTTTCTTTTCCACACCGGGTGGTAGTGTTTTGACATATCAATAAGTAAGTGTAATTGAATAAAGATATTTGAATTTGAAGATGTCTTGTAGAAAATGAATCTCTAAAGATCTTGTATAAAAAGTGTGTTTTCGCTTTTGTTTACATTTAGATCTCAAATATAACTTTAACACTTTTGATTGTAAGTTACAATAGTAGTAAAATGTTAAAAATTGTGTCTTGTATAGTATATTCCCTATGTATCTATTTTTTTTAAAAGAACATTGCCCTTACTTTAGGATAACATAATCCTGTGTTGTATGGACGTTTTACAAACATAAATTTCACGCAGCAAACACCCAGTAACAACCATTCGGAACAATTATCTGTGGGTTACACAAATAGTTCTCCCGTGTGGGAATCGAATCCACGACCCTCGACGGCGAAGCCAATACCTTGCTAACTACGCCACGGAGTCATCATGTATCGTGTGCGTAAATTTGTCTTACAACATTATTTATAAGGGAACATTAGGTGTTTTTGGTAAAATTAAGATTAAGTTAAGATTTTAATTAAGATTAAGATTATAGATTATTAAATTATATTAATATATTAATTATTTATTATAGATTATTAAATTAAGATTAAGACAAATTAAGATATGGTTCGTGCCGTTTGTTTTCACATCTTGCCTATAATTTACAAATCGAAACTTTTAACAATCACTTTTCTTCCTTTTTCTATTGGCTTTTTTCTTGTCATTCTAATTTATTCATCTCAACGTCCATTTTCACATGTATATTGTTAAAACCCTGTATTATTATAATTTCTACAAAAAACATACAAATAGTGTTTTATTTTTGTTCCCTTATCGAATAGGAATTGATATACATAACTTTTATTTAGTAAGTATATATATAATTATCAATTTCTTTTTATTAATGAAAAATTTTTGTCACATCTTAAATGCCAATACCATTTGTGTTCCTTATTTAGTGTAATCATTGAATCTGCACCGTTCGAATTTACCATATTTATGGACGTAACACTTCTTTTGCCGCGTTAGAAAAAATATGGGAGTTAACGCGCACACGCGCAACATAAATGTGTCATAACCTCAAAATATTAAAATGAAATATTAAATGTTTTAGAATAATAGAGATTTATTGACTAACTTCATAAACTTAATTTCATGTGGCAAAAATGATTATCCTTAACATTTCAACGTACGTAACGTAATCTTTAGTTCATGTTGTCAAGTATTATCATGATTTTCACATTTTGTTATTTATCCATTTTCTAACTTTGAATGAAGATGTAAACTCTTTGAAGTTTAGTAACGTTTGCTCAGCAAAATATAGACAAAACCTTTCAAAGGTTTTATTAAATGTACATATAAATGGGTACTTTGAGTAGACGGAAAATATCTGCTCCAAGGAATTAATTAACATGAAATAAAGCGCAGAAACCTTCAAAGAGTCTGCAATATCGACGGAAAATTTGATACTGTTAGGAAATGCAAACTTTCTTAGTAGGTTCATAGCAACATAGCTTCCTGTACCAAGTACGTCTTGTATTCTGTTTTATCACTGGCGTTGTGATAATTGTAGCGTTCAATACTATTCTCTTCTTAACACATTATTCATTTTGATACTTAACGGTCCGCGTCTGCCAAAGCAAATGAAATAAAAAATATGGCTGTAGATAACGTGAGCAATGTGTATGTTACACATTGCTCAATTTATATAGCAAGTTTGATAATCCGGGCTAGGATAAATTTTAAGGAACGTCTTCAAAAGATTTTGTTGCATTGAGCATTTTTTCGGCGTAAAGTAGAAGTGTAACACTTCTACTTAATGTCGGTCTTCTGTAAGGTCATAGTACTAACCCAGACGGACCTGCCCATCCGTGCGACAGCGAACACTGTTGCGTCGCTTTGTCGCGACGATTTGTTATATTTCCGCGAGTAGTATGCATGAAGTGAAACTCAATAATATTATTTATATTGCGTTTATATTTACGTTCCAATTTCTTTCATTCCAAAAGCATCCATGGGTAAGGAAAGCTAATTTAAGCGAACTATCATTATTGAAAGTTCGAAATAATTCAAACGAGACAGAAATGTCTATTACGGGTCGGCTTCTATTTTAAAATTAATGTATGTACAATTTAAAATATTTTTTTTTATTTAAAAATAAATCACGACGAATAAAAGGGAAAACGGAGCAAATTATTAAACTATCATGACACGTGGTGAAACAGTCGCTGTTAAACGGATTTAAAAGTAATAAATCAGAAAAAAATCTTTGGTCAATGCTCAGGAAACTAGGAAAATTTCATTTATGGACAACATATTTTCAGTTATATTACTAATTTATATAAATTACTACCATTATTATAACGCCCATACACAACAATAGAAAAAAATCATCAAACCCTGTAGATTATAGTCTGAATTAGCTAACCATGCAATGATTTTGAATACAGTTACGCAATCTCCTTTGTTTAAATGTGCAGTGAAAACATACATACATCGCATTTGTCATGGTGATAGATTTATCGTGCACTACAACATGTAAAGTTTACAATGCTAATACTGTTATTCGTTATGCTGATGTTGTTAAATTGATCTGTTCGAATAAATAAATGAAGTTGCAAATACTGACTGTGCCTGTTATAAAAATATAAACTATTTAATTAATTGCATTTATAGTAAATAATACGAGTATGATTACCCTTAATCGTTAATGTTATAATTTCATAAATGTAATGCTCTCACTCGTATTGTGAGACAAAAAAGTTGATAACTCTAGGCTTGTAGGTTACTTAGAGAGTATATAATGAATAAAAATTTAGCTCAACTTTTTATAAACAGTTAGTGATCGAAACTCGTTGAAGTATGGTTGAATTTTGGCGCATAGTAGCCCCATATAGAGGCTGAGTTCAATAGCCACTCAAACCTAAGAATCCATTAGGGCTCCACAGGGCTGCGCGTTAAACTCTTGACTTCATTACACGCTCTCACAATAACGATCAAATCCACTAAGAACTTTGCTAACAACACACTATATAGTGCTACAAATCAACCAGTCAATGTTGTTATTGCATTGTAATGTAGAATTGCATTTACTGTTTGTAATATAACACAGTCGCTTTTCCATAACTCATTAATCATTTCCATTCAATGAAATTAGAATTCCACTATTAATACAAACTCATTTCATTAGATTTGGAGATGTAAATAGTATTTTATGTATTATACCGGGAACTTTTATAAGACAAAATTCCGTAGCAAAGCGCCAGTACGTCGACTAGTTAAGTTATATGGGTATGCTAACTTTTGAAACGTAATACATTTTTTATCGTGAAAGGGACGAGTCCACGTCTTGAACTTATAACTGACAGACATCTCTTTTGTTGGATAAGTATCTAACAGTAGTTATCATAGTTACATTTTTTATAAATGTTTTCGATTCTACTTTTGGATTTTATTTGACTGGAAATATCGGTAAATATATGTTCAATGTATTAACATATATTAACATTTTATAACTGTTTTTACTGGATTTAAATTAACCGAAGAAATGTGACAAACAAAAAGCATTTTCAACTGATGTTATATAATTATCACGGGCATGGACAACGCCTACGCTATTTTAGAGTGGGCTCAGTTACTTCACTTACGAGAAGAAATGCCCAAATAGTTATACTTTATGCCGGTCTACTGTGAGGCTGGTAAGTAATAAAAGTAAGGTAAGTAACCTTAAGTAAGGTAAGGAACCTTCACTCATTGGATTTTTCATGAAGCTGCCGCGGCTTTATTACAGTTACAATGATTTTTTACTGCCAATAAAACTTATAAAAGTATTAAACGATAAAATTGAGGATATTACGCTCGCCGCAATTGTACTTGAGAAGATTCTACTGTGACCTGGGCGCCGTTTGTTCCCGTAATTGAGTTTGCCGGACTTTTACTGCATTTGGGCTTGAACGTGTGCCGTTAGACTGCTTAAAGTTTTTATGTTAATTATAAACGGCTCGGGGAACAAAGCGAAGGAATGAGCGAAAACAAAGGCGTTCACCGACGCGAACTCTTCTTACCCATTTGTGCTTTGTAAGGCTCTTCCCCAACATATAATAGGATTATTGCCAGCAATTAAATACAAGAAAAAAAAAACGTTTAATTCGGAAAAATAACAATAATAATCGTATCTAAATAATCGTATATCATTCATATACCATGAGAATACACTTGGCGAAACAAAGAAACACAGAGCACGCGGGTCGCAAGGAAAGATTGACGCGTGACTTAACAATGGCCACTTAGAAAACGAAGGTAAAAATTGTACTCACAGTATACTTCCATGAAGGCCTCCGATTGTGCGGAGTGGAATGAAGGCGCCTCCTCCGAGACCTCGCAGCGATAGAGGCCGCGAGACTTTAGAGTCAAGTCCCTCAGGTGCACCCGACGTGCGCTCGACTTCTCCAGCTGAGTGCACAGTAATTGGGTTAATTATCGCTCAATTACCTTCAAATAGCCCGTGCTACGGGCGAGCAGAGTATAACAAACATAATGAGCGGGCAACGCTACAGTTGGGCTGATGAACACATTCAGAACGGTAACAATTAAAAGCTGAACGCCGGCCCGCCGTGAACTGGCATCGGTATTAATTAATGATGAAAATAATTACACAAAATTGAAATTAAGACGGGCAGAATATTTTATTTCGGCCCCGTTCAAACTTAATTAAGCGTTTCCAGGCTTAAAGATGCTTCTGTACACCGATGGACGTAGATATTTTGAGATACAGTTCAAATTTTCATTAGATTGCAAATGGGTATCTCGTATTTTAGTAAAATTACGCTATTCGAATTGGTTCAGATAAATTTTACGCGATCGTTTCTTCAGTTCGTTGACGTCCTCCCTTTCGTTTTGTATCGCGTCATTCGTTTCATTGCTTATTAAATGAAAACGGCGACTTTCGTTTGTTTTTAGCATTTGTCTGTACGTTAATATATTTATTTCCTATATCGAAAGTAATGTTGGAGAAAAGTTTTATTATAGCCATTAAAACAATTGTTAACGAATATATCTCACTATGATTTTCACATATCTAACGAAACTAGTCAAAATATTTCGTGGAAAATTTAATAAGAGCTTTATTTGTGCCATTTACATGTAAATATTTCTTTTTCATGGAACTACAAGCGTGTAACGATGTGTGTGCACATTGAATAAAGGAAGATTTGTCCTTAACGTTAAAGGATAAAAACGCATTGTGTTTGGATTTCGTCGCAAACATTTTAACGGACTTAATTAGCTCTTACGCAAATTTGCTCAGGCCTGTATAAATTGCCGCACATATGTCACGCGATGCGAGTTTTCATTAATGTGGGACATCGCAGGATTTAAATATGCCGAGAGTTTTGTGGGAAGTGATTAAAAGGTATTTTTTATGCTAAAATATCGTGTGAAAACGGAACAGATTTTCCGGTCCTTGAGTTTTAGATGTCACCATGATGACACATTTTTAAATGATGATAAATGTTTGAAGCACTGCGAAATGGAAAACATGGATCGTTTCGAAATTGCGCCCTCGAAAGCTTTTTAGACGTAACACATTGTATTATATTTAGTCACTGTTTACTTTCAAATAAATTTTATGGACTACATTTTAACGTTTCTCTTCAATTTTCCGATTCATTACGTACATTAGAGAATCAAAAATAAATCCGATTTTTAAAATGAAAATTTGTTTTTGGGTGTGATTTTTTTTTAATATGACTTTCTACGTAAAGTAAAGCCGTATTTCTTTCTAAAAATTGTTATAATATGCCTCGCGATAGCTCAGTGTTCGGGCGCTCGATTTTAGTTCAATATACTAGAGCAAGCTGAGTTCCTACCCAGTGCCGGAACCAATGAAATTTTTAATTACTATTTATTATAAGTGCTGACTTGTCAAGGGTTCGGCGGTGAAGCTTAAATGTAGGGTGATCTTAGTCCAGCAGTGGATAAAATTCAGACTGTTACTTTACTTTACTACGTAATAAAACAAATTATATTAACCATGATAATAATTTCTATTTGAGACGGTCTCGTTATTGACTGGACGGACATATCTTTGGAACTTTAAAAATTCAATTAATTTAATGCCTTTCTGATTTCAACACGATTGCTTTCAATCATTTCGGATTTTGTTGGCGAGCAATTCTTATTTAAATTAATAGGTTCATAAGCAGTCTCTGGCTTTTAACTGAGATTGTTCAAATCACTTTTTTGTTTACTTAAGTGGCTCCATAATCTTTCACTCAGAAAAAAAGCTCTGTTCGTATTAAACGACCAAAGCTTTTTTGCCTTTCGCCACAATAACATTTTTCCATGTATTCGTGATATTATTCACTACAAATACATAAAAAAAATTTTTAACACTACTTCCGTGTGGGTTATAGTTTTAGAATCCATCAGGCTCAAGTTATAAATTACAACAAACCATATATAGTGAGGACCATGAAAAACGCCAATTTATACTAAGTATATATCGTCAATCCTACTCCACATAAGTTTCTCTTAAACTGTGTGTTTTAACTGTGTACGGCATTCATTTCAGATACTTGTATATTTTCAATCCGAATCCACATAAGATAAGCTTCTCTTGTACTTTGTGTACCACTTGTACTTTATTTAAGACGCGTTTTGAAGTTTTAAAAATGTTATTTAGGAATAACTTACGTCTACTTTGACTCCCTCCAGCCTGTGAGCGTGTTGTGGTGGTCTTAAACGTGGCATATACCGGTAGAATTCCTCGTTATCTCTATACCATTTGACGGAGTAAAGTCTTCCACCTTCCAAATCGTAGTCGCAAGTCATAGTGACCGAATCCCCTCGCTGCTTCAGACTGGGAACTGATATGCCGACAACTCGCAGGCAAATTGAAACTGTAATAGAAGATTTTCTTGAGTGTTTTCACACAGGCTACTGAGGTTTCTTCATGTTAGTACTCTTAAACTTGTTTGAAGACTGAAATCTTAAAATTACGCGAAACGGAACTCAAATAACATTAATTTTTATTTTGCATAATTTTTAAATTATTAATTTTGCGTCCGATCTATCAGAAGGTGCGTTCGTTCAGGCCTAGATTTAAATTTTTTGATGATATCAAATCCGGGCTAACTATGACATCCAACGCCTCAGTCTGTCTTGTTGTAATAAACGCTGAAAAGGGCTCGAAACGTTGGGGAATACAAATTAAAAATAAACGCGATAAATCCGTCAAAATAGTTTCATCTAATAATCATGTAATCATAAGACATCCTTATCTATATCCTTACTCATATTATAAAAGCGAAAGTTTTTATGTAACTAATGAAACTTTACAATAGTACAGCTTATATATCAGAATAGCACATATGCTATAAAATATAAATAATAGTATATTTATAATTGTGCAAAATATAACGATAACTAAATAGGATAAAATTCTACTATCTGTGAGCTATTCTGGTGTATAAAAAAAACATTGTTAATTCCCCTTGAGCGCACAGGCGAAGTCTTGTTTAACAGCTAGTTATCAAATAATATTTTGTAACATTAATATTCTTTAGAGCGTGAGGTATTGTTATATTAGTATATTCAAAATAGAAAATGTAATAAATTGCCATTATATGCTTATTTATAAGATAAACTTTGCTATTTTATCTATTTCGGGTATAAGTAAGGATTGATGTTTATCGTTCATTGTTGAAACAAATTCCCGTTCTAATTATGAATTGAATTGTACAACGTACTGCTTATTTAGCCTGGACGAAGTCGCTATTGTATACGATAATATACATATAATTAAATCTTATTTATAAAAGTTTGTCGAAATCTTAAATAATTAACATTATTAGTTAATAAAAGTGTGTCAATATTATAAAAATTACTGAACTGCTGTTGAAGCAAAATTGTAATAAAATATCTCATATTCAAGTTAATACCAAAATATGTGTGAAAATGTCACTGTAACATATTACTTTATGTTCATAGTTGTATAAGACCAATAAGTTATACTGCTTTACTATAATCACTACATAGTATAAAACAAAGTCTTAGACCTTTAAAAGTACGCAACGGATCTTGATGCCGTTTTTTTAATAGATAGTTATACAAGAGGAAGGTTTGTATGTATTAATACATTGCATCCGTGCGAGCCGAAGAGGGTCGCTTGTCTGTTATAAAAATGTTTTCAGTGAGTTTATTTTTATATTCGACAAAATTGTATCAACATGTTTATACAAAAGCGGGATGAAAATTTCAGACAGAGCACTCGTAAATTTATAAATTACACATTGTAATAAATATTTATATTACTACCAATAAAATTTAGTACCCATGCAGACTATGGAACTTTTACCTTATAACATTCCGACCTTATGAAACTCCTTTTAAATGAAATGTGATTATTGGAACGAAATCGTAATGATTCGTTTTTGCGTATGCAAATTAAATTTAAGATTCCCCTTGAAGTTTCTTAGATGTAAGTATTATATTCCTTTTTTTTAATTTTAATATTTATTTATTAAAAATATAGCGGCACAATGTAGGTAGAATAAATATTACCTTTGGCGTAGGTTAGTATTAGAAAACAGGTAACTAATACACTTTTCATTTTTACCATTTTTTACAAATTTATCTTCGGAAAACAAATCTCGCAATATAAGTAATAGCAACTTAGGAAAATTATAACACAATCACTATTTATATTAAAAGTTATTTAAAACGATCCAAGAGTTATATGTTGTATTCTATCATATATTTATTTAAAAAGGTTCGAAAGTTAAGAATAAGTCTCAATTAAGACACTACATTATAAAAAGTCAGTCGAAAACAACTTTTACGGTGTAATAATAGCGCGAGGGGACGAGCGTAGCGCTCCACGCGTCCCGTACAACTGTTGCTACGAGCGTGATAATGCTACGGAGTGTAGCGAGCTACGCGCTTCGAGATCTTTTGTACCTGGTTAGGTTTTTCACCAGGCTGAGAAATTTCATAATCTGAAAATATCTGCCTATAAATCAATAACAAAGATACTCATAAAGTTTTTAGTATACAATAATAATCATAAATAAATCATTATGGATTTAACTTATTAACTGTATATTATATTTAAAAATAATGCAATTGAAAAAACAAATCTGGAATCAAAATTGTACATGGTTTTAAGTAATAACGCCCGGTAAACAACCGAGAACATATTGTGCTAGTGGATGTGTTAGTATTTAAAAATAAGAGACGTTAATGCAAAAACATTTCCACCATTAGTAGGATTCATTTGGGGTCGCATTAGTATCGTTGCCGTATCAAAGCACTGACCAAGGATTAGTGACGGATTTATTAAATAGGTAATTCGCTAATGGGATACGCGCGCCGTTTTCCAATGGTTCCGACACGTTTCTCGGAAATATTATTTATTTAAATATATTTATTAAAGTTAAATTAATTTAGGTTGCAAAATTCTAAAGATATGTCCGTCAAATCAGTGTTGGGACCATTAGGAATACTATTTATTACTATGTATAAAAACTATGTTACGTAGAAAAGTGAAATAATAGCCTGTATTGTATATGTCTCACTGCTAAGCAAAGATCTCTAAAAAAAAAAGGTTTTAATATAGCTCTGTGTCCGGGCACTCACTTTTTCTTTCTTTTTTTTTAATATTGATGATTCAAAATGTTAATAAGGCTAAACTCAAATAATTTTTTAATGAAATATATGTTTTATATTATGTTTTGTCATTATGAACACATACCGCTTTTGAAGACGGCAAATAGGTTTTTAGGTTGAATACAAAGTGAATTACTTTAACACTTTGTATTCAATCTATATCCGTAGCATTTTTTTCATTTCTTTTGATATTTGGGCATAATTGTTTTCCTAGATGTTTTCGTTACATTTTTATTGATGATAACATTCATATAATCAAGTTAAACGAGTATTCGTCAGTAAAATATTCACATAGTTATTGAGGTTAAACTATTGATATGTAATTTGAAACAGATACAGTGCGTGCAGTTATAAACCAAACGTAAACACAATTTTTCTGAGGTTATTTTTTATCAGTAGATGGAATCGGATCGTGCGAATATGTGAGGAACACGTATTCACGTCGGCGTTTCGATAGTAAAACATCTACAAATAATTTATTAGTTTATCAGTATGGTGAGTGTTTTAGTGGAAAGTGATACAGAAATGTCTCGAAATGAAAACCATAATGCAAACAGGAAATTAATACTATATAAGAGAATAACAATAATATAAATGAAGTGTAAAATCGAGAAAAACTTTCATTATATTTTTGCATGGCACTTACACTTTTTAACTAAAAACATTGTTCCTGGCAAGAACGAATTGATAAAAAGTCCTTTAACATATAATTGATAAATGCTCAATGAAAGAAGAAGTGTTCACGTAAATAAATATCAAAAAGTCAACAATGTCTAATATCAAGAAAATGTCGACTACATATTTAATAACTTGTAAATGCTTTGTACCTACTGAGCTTACAGAATTTAAAAATGCCATTATTGCTGAATTTGAAGAGACCATAATGGCAGAAATCAACACAAAGTCTATGTTGTCAAGGCAGCTCCCATCCAGTCTAAAATACTCATAATTTTGGTTACGATATTTGTATTGTAAAGGCAAGCGATACGAGCTGCCTATGGCCTGGGTCCACGTGAGTCCTTTCGGTCTATTTTCAAGCAAATAAACGTCTTAATGTGCCCATTGCTATACATACTCGAGAACATCATGTATGTACGGAGTAACATAAACTTTTTTACAAAAAACATATTACATCGCGTCAGGGCCGTGGTGACACGCTGGTAATACCTAGGGTTAGACTGGACCAAGATGATGGTAGATGTATTAAGTGATATAATAGAAAAGGTGACATCCAAAAACAATTAAGTGTAAATATTTTCAAACATTTTGTAAAATCTACCTTAATGGAAAGGCCTATTATAATGTCGAGGAATACATTGAGAACTAGGATGTGTGGAAATGACTCTTCCTCTGCACTTGCAAGTCCCCCGGCTCCTGCTAATTTGATGTAATATGGAATTTTAGATATGATTTAATCTTGTGAATATTGGATAAATAAAATAGTTAGTTTCATGCTTATTATACACTTAAATACTTTTGTGAATATTACTTACATAATTCAAAGAAAAAAAAAAGATAAGACTGCACAGATCCTTGCCAGTTCTTGTCTGGCAGGTCTTGTTGTGAACGGGTTTGACGTTCAGTAAGAGCTTAAAATAAGCCATAAATAAAGAAGTTTTGACTTTGATTTTGATTTTGAAAATGAAAAAAAAAAAGTGATTTTATTTATCTTTATTATTTCATTGTTTACTTTTTCATACCGTCAATAAATAAGCATAATTAAGTATATTTAATGAATTCTAATCAAAAACCTTTGCAAATTATCTCCAGTTTTATTCAGCTGAACTTGTTTTGGCTAATATTTAGTCCACCAAACAATTTCTAATACCTGGTCTGCTCACTGCTGATTAGTGAACTTTTTATCATCTTAAGTTAAAATTGATGACTTATTCATGTGTGTGTTAAAAATAAGTGAGAGCAAAATAGAGCAAAATAGATGTGAATTATATTGGCTATCTTTATACCTAATTTATACTCGTCAATATTGTTTTCATTGATGGCACGTTCTCATCTCTAATAATCTATGATTATCTCTTTTTTCACTGTTGGCAGTAAAAAGCAAAATAAAAAAAATTGTCATCAAATTTATGTTTAAATCTCATGTAGCGCGTTCGTCTGGTTTTAGGTGACGTTTGTTGAAGTTATAAAAAAATACCGTTCTGTGATAATATTACCGACGCAGATTCATTTTTCATTGAAACACGATATAGCAATTAAGGCTATTAAAATGTGGATAGAAATTCAAAATTGACTCTCTCATATTTTTATTCATAAATTGTTTTATTCTCAAAACAGATTAAAACTCATTGGGTCACATAACCTTTTTATTAAACTATAAAATATTAAATTTAAGTGTCACCCGGCAGTTGTTAAGTTGCAGTTGTGCCACCAGTGGTAGTAAAAATTTACCAAGTACAAATTTTTGCATATTAAACAAATATATTATTCATAAATTTTTGCTAGCTATACAACTGTCTGGTGCATGGGAAAGAACTCTCGAACACCTGCACCGATGCATGTATAAGCAACTGCGCCGATAATGATAAAATTTTTTCAAAATTTTCATTTCGAACAAGATTATTTCATAAGCGTTAGCGATAAATATGGGATATTTAAATTGAAACAAATATTTGCGTAATTTTTTGTGGCAAATATTTAGAAAGTATCAATTCACTGAGTGATCATAATCAATGAGTACTATTAATATTAATCAGATTATTGTAAAAGTAGCGAACATCGAACTATGTGGCGACAACAATGGACACAACACGGGGCACCCTCTTGAATTTATTGGTAGCGAGAATTTTCTTTGAACTCGGTGGTAACGACTTTTGAGGATATCCTTTTGCATAATTTGCGTCGATATTATCAGCCTCAAGGAAATATTTCACTTAAATCAAGAACCCATCTCCACAGGCTTATTACTGAGTACAATTAATTATATTGCGAATTGTAAAGTATCGAAAATAGTTGCAGCGAGGTCTAAATTAACGCTTGATTCACGTTTAAACTGTACATGAATCTGAATGCGGTAATAATTTGGATTGCAAATTTTGGTTTTACGCCCAGCCTCATTTTCATGACTGGCCCGAATATAGAGATGAACTTTTTAGATTTAACGTATAAATTCAGAAAATAAACTGACATCAACACAAACCATCTCGATGTAAATATACTAAATAATATCGCTTATTTATGTTATCCTATTACTACAGTAGAAGTACCAGTAAAAACAGTATATAGATAACCTCTGATTGCTCCGTATTGATCTGTAAAATCCGACTCCGAACTGTAAAAAATTACAATTCATCACCATCATTATCATCACCCTCCTGCCTTTATCCCACCTAGGTGGGGTCGGCACAACATGTGGATCATTTTCTAATCTTTTGTACGACCGGCCGCCTGCCTAACGTCAACCCTCCTTGGGAAACAAACACCCAGTTCCGGAACAATTATTTGTGGGTCACACAAATACTTGTGTGTGAATCGATCTCACGACCCCGACGCCGTAGCTTAATAACTGCGCCATCGCGACACCACCAATTTAAAACACAATTATTGAGTAAATTCCTGTAACTTCAGTAATGCGTCAAGATTCATAATGTTTTTACTAAATCATAATAAACGAAAAATTATTATTTGGAATTAAAACATGATTCTAGGTGAAATAGAAGTTGATTTTGTTTTTCATGGGGTTCTGTTTCAGCTATGCAATCTATTTTGTAAGCGCAGAATGAGCAATTACATAAAACACAACCGAATTTAAATTCGGCCATATTTTAAAGTTTTATATTAATGTATCCCATTATTATTATATCTCTCTCTCTCTCGATCTCTTCCAATACAATTCATATTCAATTTCATGATGGTGAAATTGCAAACGCTACAGCTTTTTTAATTATATTCCCCCGCGCTTTATTTTTACAAGAGTAATGTTTAATT